TAGGTCTGCGCGCGAAGCAGCAGCAGACAGCTCAGACAGTAGGCAGCAGGCAGACGGCGCGCGCAGCGCAGCACGTCACAGGCACAGTCAGTCACAGTCACAGTCGTGGGGTAGCGGTAGGTGGGCCCGAAAAAAAAACGGTCCTACGGACCTATTGCTCTGAAACCATGTCAGAATGAAGAGGCAGGAATGATTGACTAGGAAGCAAGGATGAGTACAAGTAGGGCAAAGTCTAACCCTAAAGTGTTGTACTCAGTAGAGGCTACCCCACTACAGCCTACAACATAGAAACATAGTTTGACACCAGCATGCCTTAGTCAGATTCTAGGTGGCACCACTGCATATCATCAATCACCCTTCATCCTAACCATACAATTTCACCAACTCTTGCACAGCCCTACACCTTGCTCATGTCCGTTTGGTGTCCGCCCTGCATGCTGACTTGGCCCATCTGCTTGCCTTGCGACCCTTCGTCCCCATCTAGCAGTGGGTCGGACTCCTTGGCCTCCAGGGCCTTCTCCGATGTGCCGTCTGCAGTCAACCCCTCATCCGCTGGCTTTGGCTTGCTCTCTGGCTTCTTGCCTGCTATTGCCTTGTAATACAGAGCTGAGAACACCAAAGCCTGAAGAATATAGAAGTTCAGTTGGGAAGAAGAAGGAGGTTGTAAGTGGGAATGAGCTGGACGGATGTCTGTCCCAGGTCAGGAAGTGCAATGAGGCAAAGCTGTGAAATAACGTATAAGTTTTACCAGTGATAACTTGTAAGCATGCTTCACTTACCGTGCCACCAAACTGGCCGGACGTGAGAGGAGGGCCATAGATGACCGTGGAGAGAAGAATGCTCAATAGCTGGTGCACGCCAGGGGGAGGAAAAGGAGGGGGGAGGGAGGGGGAAGCGGAGGGAGAAACGGAAAGGGAGGACGAGTTGAGTGAGGACGCTGAGGAGACAGAGGGCGGTTTAAGTAGGACGAGTGGGAAACTGGAGAACAGCTCATGACAGGTTTGACAACAACCATTATGCCTTCCACGATATTGTGTCCGGCAGGTGCAACACATAAAATTAGGGTTGCAACCAGGAGAGGGGGACATGAAAGAAACATAGATAAATCAGAAGGATGGGATACGGAAAGCGAGGGTGACCTGGCGTGTGGTCATGATGGTGGCGAAGGCCAGTGCGCCGAACGTGCGGATGGTGTAGGAGATGAAGAACTGGCTTGTTGATGCTGACTGCCGGGGTGGCGGGGGGCAGGGAGCACACAACAAGCGAGGGAAGGGAGGGGATAGATGAGTTCCTGTCGAGCGAGGGGCGAGTGTGGGTGGGCCTTGGCAGGATATGAAGGCAGGATAGAGGTATGAAGGTGCAGGTGGTGAAGGGCGAGACTCACAGCGGAGAGCAGGAAGATGTGGAGGAAGCAGGAGGGGTACTTGATGATGAACTGGATGGCGGACACCAGATTCACGTTCAGCCCTGGCCGCATGGAGAGTGGAGGGGGAGGGCGGGGAGGGCACAACGCGCAGAAGAATATTAACTTAGGACATGCCAGGGTGGACATGGCGAAGAAAACGAGGAGTGAGATGTTCCATGGGAGGAACGGGCACTTATAAACAGCTTCTTGGCGGTGCACTTGTCGTGCTTCTGCGTGGCCGGGGCTCACCGATGAGGGAGAGCAGCGCGGACCAGGAGGAGATGTAGAGGATCTGGTTGAACGTGTCCATCTTGTACCCCTTGAACAGCTTGTCCTGGAATGTCGACGTGAACCCGTCAAACCTGCTCGCACGGGAGGGAAAGCAGGAGGACTAAGGGTTAATATGTGTAAACAAGGTGCTTAGTTCAGTCGCATGTGCAGCAGGATGCAGTATTGCAGTTATGCAGTCAGGGATGTGTGAAGGGTGTACAGGAAATTGCAATTAACAGCAGGAAGAGGGGTGGCGAGCAGAAGGAGGAGGACGCACCCGAGGTAACCAACCATGAGCAGAATACCCCAGAAGGTGGAGTCCACCTGCTTGTGGTGGTGATGGCCCTCGCGCTGATGTACACGCGGCACGGGATGACAGCAAAGCGCACGGGGAAACCAAGGAAGGAGGGTGGGGAAGGGGAACGGGGTGAGGGGCAAGAGAAGAAGATAGAAAGATGAACGAGCAGTGCTATTCAAGTTTGTAAGGGAAAGGAAAGAGGGGAATGAAGGTATGTTGAGTGATCTCCATTTTCTGTGTGGTAGTTGCTTCACCTCCTCAGTGCAACACAATTCGTTCGCGCATCACCTCTTTCCGCGCATCACCTCTCCCAATGACATGTTCTCCCCTCCTCCTGCACACAATCACACCCTTGTAAAGCGGCCAATTCGTACCCTGATTCAACCACCCTCTCCCATTGTCCCCGTCAAGTTCCCACCTCGTCCCCGTCCTCCTCTCACCCGCTATTGTTCTAACCCTGTCCACCTCACTCACCCCGTAGAGCACGAAGACGGCGCAGCCAGCGGTGACGAGCAGCGCGACAGCGTAGTCCTTGAAGCCGTACACCTTCTGCATTATGGCCGTGCCCCAGATCTGCGCGCCGAGGGGTGGCGCCCCGAGCAACGGAGCAGGGAGGTTAAGGACGCAGCGGGACGCAACGGGATGCAACGGCAGTGGATACAATGGATACAATGAAGGCTTGGCGTTGCAACTGTTGGACCTCAAAAGTCGAAAAGACAAACGCACCCTCCCCTCACCCACTCCACTCCTTACAGGGCCGTGGCTCTACGCCTCTTACTAAGGCAGCTCTAACCAGCGACAGTAAGGTGTTTCGAGAGACTTACCATAACGGGGATCATTTTGGCGGATTTGGCAAGGGTCTGCAGCGGGAAGCTGACGTACTTGAGAGCCTGAGGGAGGGAAGCGGCAGAGAGAACAGACGCGCACAAGAGCACAAGCGAATGCATTGGACAGGAACAGTTTTTTCCACGTAAAGTAGAAAATGCAATGGTGAACAAGGCGAACAGTCAACGGGCTCGAAAGCACGTCGTACCTCGTATTGACAGCCCGTGGCGACAACGTTGGAGAGCGACACGGCCGCGTAGGAATAGAGAGGCGCGACGGGAGCCATGGATTTGCCCTTGATCTGATTGGAGAAAGGGCATCAGAGGAGCTGCGAGCGTTAATGGAGCAGCAATGAGAATGAGACGTCCGAGCAGAGCGGAAAGTGTCGAATTCAGGAGAGAAGAGGACAAGATTGCACACGTCACCAGGAATGTCGCACCCAGGGTCAGGGATTCAAGTAGTGTAATTAAGAAGAGAGCAATGGCACTTCAACTTACGAGGAGCGCGGTGATGGCCATGGCGATGGCGAGCAGTCGATTGCAGAGCACGATGAAGAGCGAGTGCTGGAAATACTCCCCTTCAGTCCCGTACGGCTGCCGCATGATCCGCTCCTGTTAGGAAATCCAGACGCATGTGAGAAATTTAACAAAGAGGAACATGAAGTAGAGAACCGCATTTTGAGACGTTCCGAAACTCGAAACCCGATTTGAGGAGGAAGCGGAGCGCTAGTACTGTGTTTGACATTCCCAGGAGGAATGGGAGGCGGCGTTGATGCGAACAGGAGAAGCGGCACGGCGCCGTACCTGCATGACGCCATAGATCATGAGCGTGCCCACCACTCCGACCACGCACAGCATCAGCTTCGCCGCATCTGACTTGAAAAAGTCGCGCACGCGATCGGTGACTGACATGTTGGCGGGTGGTTCCGGACCAACAGTGGCTCCAGGAGATGGACTGCGAGACACGGTCTCTAACCGGGAGGCTCCTGTCTTGCCTGACGATTGCTCGATGGTCGATCGCCTACGCATAGGCATTCAAGAACCGAACTTTACTGGCGAGCGCTCAATTTTATCGGAGACTTTCAACGCGGATGTGACATCTGGGCGGTGAATCTGACCAAGGCTCAAACATGCAGGCCGAATGCGTGACCAAGCATGGACGCGGCTGCTGTTTGTAGAGAGCAGTGACCTCCAAGAATTTTCCCCAAGAAACGCCGCAAGATAAAATTGCGGCGAAGTGTTCGAGGGCAGAGTGGATTGCGGATGCAAGGCGGGGGAGGTACACATGATGCCCGTTTGAGCCACTCCCGGTTGCCTTGTGAAGGGGGCGCATAAGCTGTCACGTGAATTTCGCATAAGTTTCGTCCATTCGCAGCTAGCAAAAAAGGATTCGTCAGGTGCTTATATTTTGTTTGTAACTTATCTGTTGACATTTTGACTTCAGTCTCTTCAGTTGGACTTCGGCCCGTTCGTTCTTATTGGTTCAGAACCACTGCAACTTGCGCGACGTGCTTGTAACGTGCGTGCAACTGGCCAGGAAAAAAACCTCGGGTGCAAGGTTTCCATCCGGTGGGCAAATTCGCGTGCAGGGGTTGGGCATCATGTGTATGTATGTTGGAGGACAAGGCAAGGAGCGGGTCGTGTGGGGGAGGGCGGGGTGGGGAAGAAAAGGCGGGAAGACAGATGTGGAAGGATGGCATTCCCAATGGAGGTGGTCCTTCGGAGAGTGCCTCGACCACGTGGCACAACCAGGCCTCTCTGACAATATTCGATGCAGGCGAGCCTACTGACAGCATTCTCGCACCACTTTAGTGGCATCATCGGTTCAGTGAAGATGCATAACAGCAGTCAATGAAACGCATACGTATCGTATGGAATGGAAAAGCCAGGTTCCAATAATGAGTAGAGAGCAGACACTGATTGGAGGAACTGATTGGCCAAGTTTATACACACGACACGAATGTGGTACACATGCTTCCATTATTATGGAAACATATACAGATCCACCTCAGAGTGGGAACTCTCTGAACATCCAAAGTCCTATGCTTCTCTCACTTTCGTTCTACTGAACTTGGAAGGGGGGGAACCTGCCAGAGAGAGACAGAACAGTACCCATGCAAATGCACAACTTCAAATATTGCATGAAGGCGTACAAAAAAAACAAAAAAAACAACCAACAAACAGTGGAAGTGGATGCATGGGATCATGAAGGGCAAGGAGTCACTTGGTGGCTGGAGAGGTAACTTCCCGCAGGGGGCAATGGAATGCCAAGCTTCTGGAGCTCTGCTACTGGGACCTCCCTCCTGCCAAAGAGGGAAGGGAACGCATGCAGATGAGTGAATGCCACATGCACAGCGATAACATACACAAACTGCACAATAAGGTGGCAGTTTCAACGCACACCATGCAAGTGCTTGCGTGTGTGCATGTGCGTGTGCATGCGTGTGTGTGCGTTCTGCAAACATGGAGCAGGGTGTGCACGATGTAGCCAGCAGGAACAGGGTGGCTCACAGAGGCGCTTTAAACGGCCGATCCCGACAGCCAAACCGCATCTGCCCCGACTCCTTCCTCCCGCCTACTCCACCTCCTGGTTGGGTACAAGCACGTGCACGCATGCATGTAGGTGCAACATTCTGAAAGTCCAATGACACGGGAGTTTTACTGTCACAGCACAGCATCATGCAAACATGCCATGACCCCAGCAGCCCATGACCGAGCAGACCCACCCACCGTATCTGCGTGGCAGCCATCCCGGCAGCAGAGCTTGACGGTAAAAGTCCACCAGAACCTGCCGGCCCCCCACACCCTCCAACTCCAACCCTCGCTGCACAGAGGGAAAAAATGAAAACCCGTTCCAACTTCCAGTCCAGGAATGGCAGCTGTGGAATGGTGGTAGAAAGTGAAGAAATTAAGCAAAGTGTAGTCTGAAGAGCACGCCTGCATGCCCTACCCGGTACGCTCTGTCAAACTGTTGGCACGTTTCGTACTCAACAAAGGCGTAGCCTCGAGATGCCCCCGTCACTACACATGCACCACCACGCGCACATGCCCACAGACAAACAAGGGAAAGCAGAGGCGACCGCTAAGTAAGTGGTGAGGAGAAGGGCAGGAGTGAGGAGCGGCCAAAGGGAGGAGAGTAATATGAGTGTTTGAAGCAGGACAGTGCGTGTAATCCACGGTTCATAAAACAGACTTGTTGAGATTGTGATACGAGAGAAAGAGATGGACGGTACGACGGAAGGAGGAAGCGGGCGGGTAAGGTGGATATGAAAGCAGCAGGGGAGAGAGGTGGCTGGGGAAGTGGGGACTTGGAGCGTACCGATGTTGCGCACAATGCGCAGCTGCTTCACTCTGCCATGTGCTTCTGCTGCCTGCCCACACACGCACACACAGATGGACACACATGCACACGCTCATGCGTGCACGCGCGTGCATGCACAAGCACGCACAAAGCACACATGTGCACCCGTCAACCCACAAACGGAGCAGCAACCGGAGAAGATGCCTTCATGGTCTCCATGATCCCCCCCGTGGCACAGGCGCACCTGCAGCAGGCGGTCCTCTGTGGTGGTGGGCAGCATGCGCCCCACAAAGAGCGTGCACGCTGCGTCCATGGCCGCCGGACACGGGTCGTCTGTGCGGTTGGCGCACGCACGGGAGAGGAGAGGAGAGGGGGAAGACGGGGGGAAGGGGGAGGGGAGAGGTCAGAGCAGATCGTGAGCGGAGCTGAGGAGGCATGCGCACCGTGGGAAGCTATGCTCTGCCTGCTCCTTGGGTGCATGGACGGGACGGGTCACCCGCTGCAGGCTTCTGCAGGTAGGTGCATTTGACATGATGAGGACGCCGGGACACGTCAGCAACATGTGTTGGCGACATGAGGGATGGGAAGAGTGCGAGGGAGTAAGAAAGCAAGAGAGCGAAGGACTAAGAGGGGGAACGTGGGGGTGGGGGAGAGGGGAAGGGGAAGGAAAAGGGGCAGGTGGCGGGTGGGACAGGGGCCTGACAAGCTGCGAGGCGGCGGGCGAGGAGGGCACGCTTGATGGCGCGGTCATGGGGGCGCGTGTCCATGCCGTCAATGCTGCCCGCCTGCACCGGGTGGTACTCCTCATGACCGTACCACACCTGCTGCCGCCCTCCCACCGGCCCTCCCCACCCCTGCTGCGGTCTCTGCTGCTGCTGCGTTCGTTCGTGGTGCCTGGCTACCACGTCAGCATTCGGTCCGTCCTCCGTCCCCTCCCTCTCTCTCGCTCGGCTGCTGCTGCTGCGTCTCTCCCTCTCCCTTTCCCGCTCCCTCCTCCTTTCCCTCTCCCTCTCCCCATCCCAGTCACTCTCCCTCTCACTTTCCCTCTTCCTCTCACTTTCCCTCTTCCTCTCACTGTCCCTCTCCCCTTCGTTCTTCCTCTCCCTTTCCCTTTCCCTCCCCCTTTCCCTCTCCCTCTCCCAATTCCACTCACTCTCCCTCTCCCTTTCCCTCTTCCTCTCACTGTCCCTCTCCCTTTCCCTCTTCCTCTCACTGTCCCCCTCCCCTTCACTCTCCCTCTCACTTTCCCGCTCCCTCCTCCTTTCCCTCTCCCCATACCCCTCTCCTTCCCTCTCCCGCTCTCGCCGTTTGTCCCGCCCCTTCCTGTCCCGCTCATCATCTTCCCCTACCCCGCCTTCTTTCTCTCCCCTTCTCCGCACATGCTGCCGCGCGTCCTCGCCCTCCCTCCACCCCTCTCGCCCTTTTTTCAAGTCTCTCCTCTCCCCAGGGGACCCAGAACGCCTCTCCCTAGCCCTCCTCCGTTTCGTAAAATCCTCCTGCTCACTCCACTCCATAGTTCTACGTCGAGTGCTGTTCCTGCTGTGCCGTCCTCCCGTGTCTTCGGTAAAAAACGGCTCGCTTTCACGGCTTGGTTCTGGAACTGAACATCACTCCAACAGCAGAGTCACGTGCTAGTGTCGTCACTTGGGTAGCAGGAAATCGTACGCGTTTGAAGTATTCGGGTGTTACCGACTCGACTGTATACAAGAATTTCATTATTTGAGTACGGTAATGCTCTTTCAATTTCAGGGACTCGGAAGATTTATGATTATTATCCGGCACACACAATATCTGAACGAGAAAGGGATTTCACGCAGCGCCGGAGCAGTGGCGGCAGTGGATATTGGCACCTCTGCTGGCAGAAGAGGTAGCGGGTGTGTCTTCCACGGTGTGCACTAAGCTCCCTAGTGGGCAAAGGTGTCTATGGGAGGTCTGCGGCAAGCTGGGAAGGAAGGTGGAGCTTCGTGGGCTAAGTGGACGAGGGGAACGCACTGCATGGGAGGTGAAGATGGTGTTAGGCTGCGGTAGCGTGGTACCGGTGAGGCTATCCGGAGCTCGGGCAGTAAGAGAAGTTGGGGATCCGAGAACGAGATTGCTAAGTTCGACGCTGTTTAAAGAAGATGAGGTGGCTCCGCTGAAGGAGCTCAGGGAGCCGAGCAAGGGAGTGGAAGCGGTGGAGGTAAAAAGGACGAAGTGGGAGGCTCGGGCAGGCAGGAAAATTAACTGGGAGCGGGGGAGAAGAGTCCGTGATTCACTGGTGGTCCCGGCTAGGGCAAGGGATGTGCTACTCCGTGTGCAGAACCTCAACCTCCAGGTTGGGGAGAGGGTTTCTTTTCTGAATGGGGGGGTGAAGTGCCCGAACTGCGGGTTGGAGGAGACACTGGAGCACTGTTTGCTCGAGTGTGCGAGTGTTGCGCCGGTGTTTGGGGCAGTCAAGGCGGCGCTCAGCATGATGCAGCCAGCGAGGCGGGTTGACACCCTGGCAGATTTTGTGTTCGGAGAAGAGGAGACGAAGTCCGGTTTCCCCGAAGCTACTATGGCGGCAGTGGCGATGCATCAGATTTGGTTGGGCAGGTGTGATGTGTCTCTCCGGAAAGTGAGGAAGTTTCAGGCACGGAAGGTGCTTCGGAGGATAAACGTGGAGTTCAACAAGCATGCAAGGATCTACTGCGGCAGGCCGAGCAGACAGGCGCGGAAAGATAAGGCGAGATGGAACTTGGCGGAGGATGAAGCACGTGTCATGCGGCGGATTTGCGACAGCGAGGCAGTGGGGCTGAGGTGGCAAGGGCGGTTCCAGTCCATCTGGACAAACCCGAGGACGTTTGTGAAACCACCATAAAGTTCGCAGGGAGGGCTAGGTGTCTTTGCCTAGCTCGAGCCCTGATGCATCAGTTACGACTGTAGCGTTTTGCCTGTACATCTTCTTGTATAAGCTTTCACTTAAAAAAAAAAAATGAGCGAGACATATTACAGCACTAAAATTCTTACAGTTATGTTTATTGTTTTTTACATACATTTAGCTCTTAAGCATCGCAAGTTCAAGTGAAATAGAAACCGTTGAGCCTTCTATCGCAAATAGCATCGATACGCTGTAAGCTTGTTGGAAGTATCGAAGAGGCAGTAAGAGGCATCAATTTCCCTCAAATCTACCGACAACTATCGCACATGCAGGCTGTTGCAAGCCCAACACGTGGAGCCCTCGCAGCAGTTCTGCGGACTGACTGGTGGACTAGAGGCCAAACCAAGGCGCATGGCAGCCTTGGTTCACGCGACGAAGCGCGCAATGTGGCGCGCCTTTCATTGTCCCATAGAAATTAGAGAGGTCGCCCTTGGTATTATATGCTCGTCACAATCTGCTCTCTTCACTCATCGCCTCCATTTGCTCCCTTGCTTCTACTGCTTTTGTCTTCTTTTCTCGCAATCTCCAGTAACCCCTCCCTGCAAGAATGGCCAACGCACTGACCGTCTCCGTGGCCGTCGCGCCCGTGGCTTCCGCCGTTTCTTCCCTCGCCGCATCGGCACGCTCCCGCGGCGGCCTGTGTGTGCGCCCGTCGCGTCTAGTCGCTGCGAGGCGCCTCCCCGCATTGAAGATCTCGGCCAAGTCGCAAGACGAGTTCGTAAGTCAATCTTTGAAGATACTGAATCGCTTCCGGCGCTCTCGTCGCGTGCAACAACACGGTCACAGTGGAACAATTTCTCATAGTCTCACATTGTCCTTCTCTTCCCTCCAATCCCGTCTTATGTACTGCAGATTGAAGACCGCAAGGAGCGCGCGGAGCGCCAGGCGCAGGATCTGAAAGGGCGCCTGGAGCACGCGCAGGAGCGCGGGGAGAAGGCGAGCGAGGAGTTCCGCAGCGAGGCGCAGCGCGCAGGCGAGCAGGCATGGGATCAGGCGGAGCACGCCGCGGAAGGCTTCCAGTCCCAGGCGCAGAGGACGGGGGAGAAGGCGCAGGAGAAAGGGCGCGAGGCGGGGCAGTGGGCGCAGGACACGGGGGAGAGCATCCTGAGCGCGGGGCAGAGGTCCGCGGAGCAGACGCGGGAGAGGTTCGAGGAGCAGCGCGAGAAGGCTGCCCGCGCAGGGGATGATGCGCGCAACAAGGCGTCCGAGGCCGCTGACAGGCTGAAGCAGAACACGCAGGAAAGCTGGGACCAGACCAAGGAAGCTGGGGAGAAGGTTCGTGGCCGCGCTGGGGAGATCGGGGAGAACCTGCGCGACCAGGCGCGTGATGCTGCGCGCAGGGGGCAGGAGACGGGGGAGGAAGCGAAGGAGCAGGCGGAGGGGCTGATGGATCGCGCCAAGGAGGGCATCAAGGGCGCGGTGGAGACCGTGCAGGAAGGCCTGCACGAGGGCTTCGAGCGCATCCGCCACATGGGCGAGGAAATCACTGATAACGTGACTAAAACGAAGGACGCTGCTGGGGAGAGGGTGTCGGGCGCTGTGGAGAGCGTGAAGGGGACTGTGGGCGATGCGCAGAGCAGGATCAATGAGGGGGCGGAGAGGCTGATGGGTGAGGCGGAGGAGCGTGGCGAGCGCGCTTCGGATGAGCTGCGCAGCGCGCAGGATGATTTGAAGGAGGGGGCGAGGAAGGCAGAGGAGAAGGGGAAGGGAGCTGTGCGCAAGGGGGAGCGCAAGGTGGGGGAGGTCACTGACGACATCAAGAGGATGTGAAGTAGGTTGGATTTTCCCAGGATGTGGTGTGGGGATTACCGTCTGTGTAGTCCTTGCCTAGTCTTTATGGCTGGATAATTTTGCTCTGTGTATGACCCTGTGTAAATATGTCTGGCTGGATTTTATAGTGCATGGATTATACACATTTTCTAAGCTGGTAGTACCTTCAACCTGAGCCTGCTGTTCTACCCAGCAATGTTTGTCCGTTACTTGTTCACAGGAAAGAGGATGATAGTTTCATTGTACCAAACAGGGTACATCAACCCACCATACTTGACGCACTTGCAATTTGCAATTGGGTAAAGCCCATTGCAATTTACTGCTGACTTGCTAATCGAGATGAAACACTTACTTACTATTGTTATACCAATTAAAGACAACAACCTCCTCCTATGAGAATACAAAGTGTTTCTCTCCATTAGCAATTACAAGATACTGCAACCTCAACTACCCACACCACACCACCCATGTCCCATGTTTCATGCTCAGCAGTAGGTGCAGCCACCAACGCGGTCACGTGGAATAAGCCGGAGATCAGAACCATGCTTCAAGAACACGTTGCCTGGGTGACAAGAACGAACAAACAGCAAACAGTGCACATGACATAAATGAGGGCGACGAGTGGGAATTGCGACAGGGAGGTCATGGCAGACGTGAAAAAATATGGATACATAATCTGTGCCAGAGGTCACAGCTGTCAGGTATCTAGCACGTGAGTGATCGCAGTATCAGTTGAGAGGGAGTGGGGCAAGAATATGGTTCGAGGGATAATGATTTCAAGGATATTGTGGAAGGAAGGCAAGGGGTAGGGTGGGAAGGGAAGAGATAGAGACTCACCAGCACTCTGTTGAGGATTAATACCCACTCCATCTGCATGTTGCACCATCAGCATAAAGAGCACCAGCACACACGGAAGTGAACGATGAAGAATGGCAAGGAAAAGAACAAGCTGAGGAGAAATGGAGAGGAGCTTGTTGCAGAACCACCAAAGAAACAAGGAGAAACAGCCTTTTCAGAGATAGAGTGGAAAGCGCCGCCTCAAGCCACAGAGATGCTAACAAGTATGCAATCACAACAACTTGATCGTGAAAGCAACAATGACTGATCGTTTGGACTGCTTCGTGTCAGCAAGTTATGAGAAGGGCGCGTGGAGCGGTGGCGAGCACGAGCATGCAGGCGGGTGGTGTGTATAAAGCGGCAAGCAAAGAGAAAGAGAGGTGACCGTTGGTGATGATGGCGCTGGTCTGTGGCGGCACTTTGAACTCCTCCGCAGCGAATTTGAGCACCGCTGTGAAGGGCGCCTCCTCTGGCACGTTGAATCTGCTCGTGGGCACGAACAGACAGGGAGGAGGAATAAGGGGGCGGAAGGAGTGCGAAGGGAGGGAAGGGGAGGAGGGGTGTTGAGGAGGCGAGGAGGGTGAGAGGGGGGAATGAAGTGGCTAAGGGGGCGACAGAAGGTTATAGAAGGAGGAAAAATTAGGCAGCATATAGGGCATGCCATAGCAGGACCGCGCGGCTGAGCCTCTGTAGTGGCAGCTGATGAGCATCACGTAAGTACACACACTTAGAGGCTGCACGGGAGCATGTGATTGGCACATGTGAGCCTGCCTTGTAGCGAGCTACGGACGGCAGTTGGAGAGAGGAGAGGGCAGGAAGGGAGGGACAGAAAGGAAGAAGGGGAGGCAACGACAGGAGAGGTGAATGGTATACGGCGCCACGCCCTGCGCGGGTTATGGCGGGCGGTGCTGTCATGCGCACGATCATGATCCACGCGGGACGCGGCTATCAGCTGACTGCAGTGCAGGAAGGAAGCTAATGACGCGATCCAGCCGCCGAGTCTGGTGCCTGAAGCGAACACCACACGCGCGACCGTCACGGCCTTGGTGGCACTAGGGGGAACAGAGGGCGCGTGCCAGGGCGGATCGAAGCCCTTTACGCACTGCTTTACACTTACACTTTATAAGGTAGCTTCGGGTCTGACGTCAGCGTGACCTTGAACGACACTTTGCCTCCTGACCTGCCGGCACCAGACGCGCGGGAAGTGGCGCATGTGGAGGCGGGAAAGCGGGAAAGGGCTGGTGAGCGGAACGTTGCGAACAAACGAGAAAAAAAACCACAAGATGGAGATGCGCAGGAAGAAAATCCGCAGGTGTGGGAGGGAGAGGGGGAAGTGGGCAAAAGGGGATGGAAACAATCGGAATAACTGGGAAACAGGTATGTAGAGTGGAAACGGGGAACAAAGAAGAAGAAAGACTATGGATGATGAGATGAGAGAGACCAGCGGGATTGGATGGTGGGAGGACAAGAGGCAAGGGTACACACGTGGCATAATCGCACCACAATTGAGCGTGGCGGGCAAGTGCGGCCCATCAGACACGGCTACTTACATGATTCCGCAAGACTCTCAGGAAAGCTGCTCTGCTCGTACGACTTAATAGTTGCTGATTCGATCAATGCGTGACGAGTCACGCAGATCGGAGGTATAGCTTCTGCGTGGAGGCTGTGGTTGCGGGAACTTCGAGGTATCGCGAAAGCCGAAGTGGAAGTGGGTGGTGGGTGATAGATTGGAGCTTCAGCGTGCGGGAAACTGTCAAATCTGGTTTGACTCCGTGGAGGATTTATTGCAGCTACACTACAAGCATGGCTTCAATAGCATACGTATTTCCAAACACATAGCAGTACAGTCGCCATTTGAAAGTTAAAATTGCGTGACAACTTTGCACAAGCGTTTTATCTCAATAACGGTTTACTAAGTCGTGGCGTCATTACATAGCAAGAATTGAAATGCCAGCTTGTTTTCTTCCATAACAAGCAGCTAGACATAATTGCTGGCCAACTTATACACACCAGCAGTCAGCAGCATGCTACCAAAGAAAGCACATAGAACAGAGCTGGCTGATGGGTGAAAATGGTATGGCAGCGAAGAGTGCAGGTGTTGCTGCAAGATGGGTGCTTAGATCTCAACCTGCTCGCGCAGCCGACGAATGGTACTGCGCACCGTCACAGCAGCCGCCGTGCTGTTCAGACAGGGCAGTAGAACAGATCAGGAAGGAAATGTGTAAGGGATATGCGTACTGATCCACGATGCTAAACTATGTACCACTAAGAGAGACAACAACAGGAAACAAGAAAACACAAGCAGTTGACAGAAACCATACTTGAGCACGTAGGCGCCGCCTGCCTTGGTCTTGTTGCAGTGCTTGCAGTGCCAGATGCCAACCACTTGACGCTTCACAGAGAACTGCAGGTTATCAACAGCATGCATACGCCCTCACTCACACGCCCAGCACACATACAGAAAAAGAGACGGACCAATCATCAGGCACAGAGAAACAGACCGACACAGAGAGACACACACACGGACACACACAGACACACACACACAGACACAGGCACAGACAACACACACACACACTCACACACACACACACACACACACACACACAAACAACACACACACACACACACAGACAACACACACACACACACGCGCACGCACAGACGCACGCACGCACGCACACACGCACGCACGCACGCACACATGCACGCACATACGTACGCAGCACACACGGAATGCACAGACAGTCATTGAGTTCACACACAGTAATCCACCACAGCCATCCACGTTGGGCTACCCACTCAACGTTTAGCATGCACATCATTGGCTAGCCATACAGGAAGGGGATTGCACGAATGCGGCAGAGGTTTGTACGATATGGGCATGCTAAACCCGCCAACGCCACTGCGCAGATAGACCTTCGAAGCAAAATCGAGAAATCTAGGCACCTTTGAATTTTTCTGATCGAAACTCTTTGGTGGAGGCTAACCCAAACCCGCTGTCCAGTTGCTTGCCACAGAAGGCCTGTATAACGCTTTGTGGTCAGCTTCAAAACGTGTGACGCCAAAATAAAAAGAGCCCCATTTTCACAAACCAGCACCCCTGACCCGGACGCTAACATCCGTGCACTCCTGAAGGCTGAACAGCGCCAGCCTTCGGACTCAAAAGGTAAATTCATGAGAACAAAAGGCACCCGTTACCCGGAATAATGTGACACGGACACGGCTGCAACAACATAGCACAGCTGCAAGATCTCCTGAACACGTCGCCGCCTGGTGGTCATGCCGAAGCAATCTGGGGGAGTGTCCAATCATAGAAGGGAGACGAGTAGGCAGCAGCCGCGTACCTTGCCGCAGAACTCGCAGAAGTATTTAGCGTGTTGGCTGACTTCCATCTTCTTCACCTGCTTCCGCAGACTGGCACCATATCGGGTACCTGAAGAATGGTCGATGGACAAGGAAACGGGACCGGGTACACTCTTTAACTCAAGTTATATCCATTCAACCTTCCTGTGTACCAGACTCGAAATGCGACAAATGACGGCAGCTAATGAACGATAAGTGGCTTGCCGACACGCCAACAAAATCTTGCATCCTACATCGACAAAATGAATGAGAGGGAAAACCAGTTGTTGGAAGCACCTACCGTACTTGCCGACGATCCCAGCCTTTTTCGTCCTCTTCGTCTGCCATGGACAATGAAACCCCAATCGTCAGGATATAACTAATAGCGCAACAGACTAGACCCAGCAGGAATCGCCCATTTCGTAAAAAACTTTGAGCGATTATTTCGTAAGCATAAGCGAAGCGCGACACCCGGTCCATAATCGAATGGTCATATATGACCATGACCTTTCCGAGAATCAGCCATGGCTCTAGGGTGCGATCGCAGGCACAAACAACCTACCATCTTAACGGCGAGCCGCGCCTAAACGTTCTAAGGTTTAGTGCCTGTGTCACGTCCTCTCGGAGGACGACGCGGGGCCTTGAGCAGGATAGAGGGGGAGGAGGGAGCAAGAGGGTGGAGCAGGGGAGGTAATAGGGCGAGAGGGACAGAGGGGCGAGGGAGAGAGGGCTTGAAAATTTAGGCGGGAGATGGGAGCGAGGAGTTGACGATCTAACGAAATTCCTAGCGACGGGTCAAGGTGATTTCGTGAATACGGTCTTCTCGTAATCACGTTGGATAGGCTTGCCGCTGGTTTTGGGGCTGCGACATCCTTCATGTCTTCGAGGTGCCTGATGCCATTAAAATATATAACTGAAAGGCGAGGCTGCACTCAGGCCAGAAGGTAATGGGGATGGGATAATCAGGTGTTATGTTTTTTTTTTTAGGGTACCATATCGCACCAGCTAGCTTGGATATTGTATGCCCAGCTTGTTGCATATCAGTAAATCTTCTTACACAGCAATCTGAACATGAGGCAATCATGGTATTGAGAGAATGTATGGTATATTGTTTAGAGGGTTTTTTTTCAATGCTTTGGCCAGTCTAATCAGCACAATTGTTACGGGTGCAATGAATCGAGGTAGCGAGGATTGCACTAAGGTGTCAAAACAAGTACAAAATGTGAGCGAAGGCATGAGCGAGCATTTATACGCGAAACATGCAAACGGTAACGCGGCGCGTGCGAGCTAGCTAGTGCTACGCTGGCGCGAGGTTCGGGCTAGTCCCGAAGCGTAGGCCGACTCGGCTGCTCCAGCAGTGCGAGGTTTGGTGAAAACAGTGCGCGCGATGTTGGCGAAGCCCCGTTAGCAGTAACGGGCGAACAACGGCTGTTGCTGTACGCGATGTTGCGGGCTGCGCTAAGGAATGTCGAGAAAAATCCTTACACTACCCCCCCCCTCAAGAAGCCCCCTCTGCTACGCGAGTGCGTGTATATCGCGGAAACCCCGGCTCCTCAGGTACACTTGCAGGGCAGGGTGGTTTTCGATGTTGGCCAGGGGCACCGAGCTATCCTCAGTTGGCGTGCGGTCCTTCCAGCGAACGAGGAATTCAATCCTCCTGATTCCCGTGGGGTGTCGAATCCGATGGCTCAGGATCTTTTCGGGCTCGATGATCGGCTCCGATGCAGGGCGAGTCATGGATGGCGGGCGGTGACGAGGCAGTTGGCTTGTGGTTGGGATGTAGGGGCGAAGTAGGCTGACGTGGAATGATGGGCTGATGTACCAGTCTGTCGGCAACAGTAAGTGGGCTGTCACTGGGGTAATCATGTGGCTGATTTGGAATGGTCCACAGTAGCGGGGTCGTAATTTCGGTACGACAGGCAGTCTTAAGTTCTGTGTATCGAGTAGTACGTAATCGCGTGACTGGTACGTGACTGGGCGGCGGTGGCGGTCAGCGTTGCGCTTAGCGATGACATTTGCTTTTTTAATTGCTTCAGCGGCTCTGGTGCGGGCAGCTTGCAGAATTTCGGCGAATTGCTGTGCACGTGGCGTTGGGTTGTCCGGACTCGGCGTCATGGGCACTGTAGGGTTTTGCCCGTAGTTCAGGTAGAATGGGGACTGCTGCATCGTTGCTGACGTGGCGTTGTTGTACGCGAACTCAATCAGCGGCAGCTGCTGCTCCCAAGTTGTCGGGTCGTCGCACGTGGCACGAATCAACTGCTCCATCGTCTGATTCGTCCGCTCCGTTTGACCGTCGGTCTCGGGGTGGTACGACGAGCTGAACTGTAGCCTAGTCCCGAACTGCTCCCAGAGGTTCTTCCAGAAATTGCTGGTGAATTTCGTGTCGCGGTCGCTGATGATCGCGGCTGGTATCCCGTGTAGTCGAACGACGGTTGCGATGAACAGGCGAGCGGTTTCTTCGGCTGAGATCGATTTTTTGCACGCAGCGAAGTGAGCCATTTTCGTCAACCTGTCAACGACGACCATAACCGCGTCGTTACCCCCAGGGTTCGAAGGTAACCCTGTGACGAAATCCATGGTAACCTGCTGCCAGGCGCGCTCAGGCGGTGGAATCGGCTGCAACTGACCCGCCTTTCTTTTTCGCGAGCTCTTCATCACCTGACACGTAGGACACGAGCCCACGTGGTGCTGTACGTCGGTCAACAGCTCCGGCCAGTAGTAGTACCGCTGCAGTTGCTGTCGCGTTTTTTCTACCCCGAAATGGCCCGAGGTAATCCCGTCGTGTGCCTCCTGCAGTAACAGTTCTCTCAGTAGTGAGTACGCGGGTACCCAGATGCGGTTGGTGCCTGTTTTTACGTAATAAACTCCTTTTGCTTCAGCCAGTTGCTGTGAATTTCCGGTCGTGAAAAATGGGTCGGTGCTGTATCCGTGGGTGAATAGGCCAGTTAGCAGTGGGTTGGTTTGGGCGAGTAGGATGGCGTGGAGTTGGGCGGTGGGGCGTGTGAGTGCGTCGGCGATGTTGGATGCACCTTTTTTGTACGTGACGGTGTAGTGGAAGTTGGACTCCAGATAGTCCAACCAACGAATCTGTCGCGGGTTGAGGTTCGGTTGGGCGCGAAGGTACTGTAGTGATCGGTGGTCTGTCCGTACTGTCACGTCTGCTCCCGTGAGGTAACATCGCCACACTTTGAACGCGTGCACGATCGCCAGCATCTCGCGGTCGTGTATCGGGTAGTTGCGTTCGGGCGGGTGAAGCTTGCGGGACTCATACGCGATTGGCTGGAGGCCGTTCCCGAAGTCCTGCAACAGTACTGCTCCCACAGCGATGTCGCTAGCGTCGGTGACGAGCTCGAACGGACGGTGCGGATCTGCGATGTGAAGCACAGGTGGCGAGCACAAAATTTCTTTGAGGGCCGAGAAGGCAGCGTGCTCTTTCTCCCCCCACGTGTACTCAACCCCCTTCCTCAGCAGGTCGGTCAACGGGGCAGTCAACTTCGCCATGTCGGGGACGAACCGGCGCACGTAGTTGACGAACCCCAGAAAACTCTGCAACTCGTCAAGTTTGTCGGCGTGTGCCATGCTTGAATCGTCGCGATCTTCTTCGGGTCTATTTCTACTCCTTCAGCTGAAATAATGTGTCCCAAAAACTCCAGGCGGTCCTGTAAAAACGCACACTTAGAAGCTTTGGTCAGTAGGCGGTTCTCACTCAGTATTTTAAAAACTGCTTCGATGTCCTGTAAGTGCTGTGCGCGGTCGGGGCTGTAAATCAGTATGTCGTCGAGGTATACGATGACGCACTTATCTAAAAGCGGGCGGAAAGCTTCGTTCATTGTCATTTGAAAAGTGGCGGGGGCGTTGGTCAGTCCAAAAGGCATGACGGTGTATTCGAAGGATCCGTAGCGTGTTCGGAAAGCTGTCTTGGGGCAGTCGGGTGGGTTGACGCGAATCTGGTGGTAACCTCCTCTAAGGTCGATTTTCGAGAAAACCCGGGCTGTGCGCAGTTGGTCGATCAGTTCGTCAGCTCGCGGGATGGGGTAACGGGATGTAATGGTAACCCTGCTCAGTGCCCTGTAATCTATGCACATGCGAAAACCCCCGTCCTTTTTCGGCGTGAACAGTATCGGTGCTGCGAAGGGTGACGAACTCGGGCGAATGAAGTCTTTTTCGAGCAGGTAATCCAGCTGCTTCCTTAGTTCGTCTAGTTCGGGTTGGGTCAGTCGGAACTGTCGCTGTACTATCGGCTGTGCCCCCGGTTCCAGTTCTATCCTGTGGTCGTGCGGTCGCTGAGGTGGCAGTCCCGTCGGCAGATCGTCCGGAAATATGTCACTGTACTGCTTCAGGAGTGCTGCCAGGTCATCCGGTACGTCGGCTAGCAGTTTCTGTAAATCCCCCCCTTTGTCTGCTGCCTCGGCTTCCCGAATGTCAACCGCGTACACGTCAGCTCCTGCCGCTACGGCGCGCTTCATTGTGATCGCGTTGACACGCACCGACGAAGACTCAGGCGAGCCCCAGCGAGGTAAAGCGATGTTGTTACCGTTCACTCGCACAGTGCAGTCACCCGTCGTCCAGTCGATTCGCGTATTGTGTCGTCGCACCCAATCACGACCGAGTAAAATGTCGGTTCCGTCGAGGGTTGTCGCGAGCATTTCCTGGCTAAACGTGAAGTTACCCCCGCATCGAATCCGAACCCGGTCTACGCGTTCCCGTATCGCCAGTGGCGTGCCGTCAACCAATCTTGCATCGATCTCAGGTAAGCATCTGTCCAATGGCAGTCTCAGTTTCCGTGCTGTGGCAGTGTTGATGAGGCTGTGGCTGGCTCCCCCGTCTACGAAGATTTTAACTAAGTCTGTCCTGATTTTCCCACTAAGCAGTATGGGGCTGTCTACCGTAGTACCCTCCTTATTCGGCCGGGTGTGGTCGATTGCGTGAACCGGCACAATCACTCGGTGAGGGTCGGTTGGGTCGGGCGAGCGGCATGACCTGTCAGTAGAGGGCCCGTCTGCTACTGACTCCCAGCGTTTCCCTGCTGCTTGGTCTGTTTCTGCTGCTCAGCTTCCCCCTTTCCCTTAGCGTTTTCCGGGCATTCGCTCTTACGGTGTCCCGGCCGATTGCACGCGAAGCAGCGCCCTTTGAACGGTGCGGCAGCGGCATTCGCGGCGACGGCACGTATCGTAGCGCCCTCGTTCGTCCCACGAGACCGATGTCCCCAGTTGTTGCTTCCGTAGGACCCCGGTCTCGGTCGGCGGAAGAAATCGAGCTTCTCCGCCATGGCGAGAATCTCCTGGAAATTGGTGACGCCGCGAAGCTGGATTTCCTGAGCGATGTCGTGCTTCAGGCCGCCGATGTAGCGGTCGATGCGCTCGCTCTCGTGCATATAACCCACTTGCTCGCATAGCGCCAGAAACCCGCTCGTGTAGTCCTGGACGGAACCGAGTTGGCGCCAAGTGCGGAGCTTCTGTCGCGCCGCGATCGATGCCGCGATTGGCTCAAACCGAGCGCGCAGACCTGCGCACCACGCGTCCCACGTGCGATATTGGGGCACCTCCACGAAATACGACGGCGCCTAGGGTCCGGTTTGTCCTTCCCGTGTCAGTAGAGTCGCGTAGTCCACCGGCTTCGTGACGATGACACGCCACCAGTCCATGGCGGGTCCTCGCAGCAACGACACTGCGTAGCGGATTTTCGCCGTATCCTCCGAGACGTAATTGGCGTCGAAGAAAACGTTCAACGTGAACAACCACGCCTGAACGGTAGGACCACCCCGTTGACTCGGGTCAAAGCATGGCGGACGTTGCGGCTTCAGTGGCATTGTTGACGGTAGTGCTGAATCGCCGGCCGGCACAGAAATCGTGACGCGAGGTTGACTTCTGGCCGCATTCGTCGCTTCGGGGTGTGTCGTGCCGTGGTCGTCGTCTCCGTCGTGGCGGACGACGCCATCACTAGCCGCGCTCGCGGGTTGCCCCACGCTCCCATGTTGCGATGTCTGTGGTGCGGGCTGTATCGGAGTGCCAGGTGCTTGAGATTGTGCTCGTGCGACGTCATTTTGCAGGGACGTGCGTTCTGCCGTCAGCGCCGCGATTTCTTCAGAGCTTTCGCGAAGTTGCTGCAGCAGTTCGTTCAGACGGTCCTGCGTGAGGGTGGTGACGTCGATATGTTCGGCCATTCCGAAGGGCGTCGGCTCGTCTTAGCTCTAGGCGAAGTCGTGGCTGCACGCGTTTACGAGAGAACGCGAGGACAACGGCTCCTAGGGGCTAAGGTGCGTGAGTCCCTTCGAGTGAAAAAATCAAAAGTTGATTTCCTGGGGTGCGGAGATGCGCGGTCCGAAAGAAAGAGGCTCTGATACCAAGTGTTACGGGTGCAATGAATCGAGGTAGCGAGGATTGCACTAAGGTGTCAAAACAAGTACAAAATGTGAGCGAAGGCATGAGCGAGCATTTAAACGCGAAACATGCAAACGGTAACGCGGCGCGTGCGAGCTAGCTAGTGCTACGCTGGCGCGAGGTTCGGGCTAGTCCCGAAGCGTAGGCCGACTCGGCTGCTCCAGCAGTGCGAGGTTTGGTGAAAACAGTGCGCGCGATGTTGGCGAAGCCCCGTTAGCAGTAACGGGCGAACAACGGCTGTTGCTGTACGCGATGTTGCGGGCTGCGCTAAGGAATGTCGAGAAAATTCCTTACAACAATCCACATTGAATGGGAGGCTACGCAGCAAGATGGCAAGAGTTAAACCCTAAGGGCAATCATTTAATGGGTTTCGCAACGCATACATCAACAACTAAGATGGCTCCTTTTTCCATGCATTGACCAATCAAGGGAGAACAGTTCAGAAGGCCCCAATGCACCTACTCCCACCAATTATTGTGGCTGGTGGAGAGTCTGTGTGTATGAATGTCTGAGTGAACTGGAGGGAGAGATGGGCGGTGCAATGCTAGGGAAGGATCCAGCGAAACATGAACACTGGATGCTGTCTGCACGCGGTGCAATTTCAGCCCCACCACCACCACACACTATTCCCGCCTTGGCCATGATACGCCTATGTTCTCATCCCCCATCCCAAGGGCCACAAGGTGGTACCGTAACATCCCTGTCCCACACCCTTGTGCATAAGAGCACCCATCTTTCGCACATGGAGCAGCAGCAGCAACCTCAAATCTCAATATGAAGGCTCATGAAGAGAGTAAAGACAGAGAGCGGGAGAGGGAGAGGGAGAGGGAGAGGGAGAGGGAGAGGGAGAGGGAGAGGGAGAGGGAGAGGGAGAGGGAGGGAGAGGGAGAGCGAGAGGGAGAGGGAGAGGGATAGCGAGAGGGAGAGGGAGAGGGAGAAGGACGAGAAGCTGCCCAGGGGCGCAGCTGTCTCATGGCCTTTTGAGAATTCTCAATAGTGAAACCCTGAATTCTCCCAGCACAGGTGCGAGCAGTGCAGGCGTCAGTTTAGGAAGCTGTCGCGGGGGCGCAGCAGCCTCTTCATGAACTCATAGGTCATGAAGGCAATGCTTACCCCCGGCACCACCTTAGCATACTCGGGCACAATGCCGCGGTACAGTGCCCGCCACCCCTCGGTGCGCACCACGTGCGCCAGCATCTGGGGGATTGTGCGGCGCTGTGACGGCTGCCGCCCCCCTGCTCCCTCCAGCTGCATGCGGCGCCGCACCAGGTCCAGAGGGAACGTGGCTGGCGTGTTGCGGGAGAGTGGGGAGCGAGGGAGAGTGGGGGGGGGTGGGGAAGGCAAAGGACAGGTGAGGAGTGGATGAGGTGAGAGAGAAATGAGAGGAGAGGATTGATGGAAGAGAGCAAGGGAGAAGGGAACGGGCAGGGAAAACAAGGTTGGATGAACGAGAGAGTGGATTAGAGAGAGAGAACGGTAGGACATGAGGATGAGAGGAGGGGGAGGAGGGAGAAGGATGCAAGGAGCGGAGTACCTGAGGAGGAGCAGATGCCAGCGAGACTGCCGCAACCGAGGGAGACGAGAGGCACGGGCATCTCAGGGTGGCGGCGCACCCAGTTGGCCTTCACCGTCTCGTACACACAGAAGTTGATGGCTAAATTGGGGCCCACGCCCTGGGAGAGGGGAAGAGGGGAGCGGAGGGTAGAGGGAGAACAGGGGAAGGGAGGGGAGGGAGGGGGGCGCACAAGGGTGCAGATCAGAGCAGGAGGAATACAAAACGGTAAGTGACCGTAAATTTGAAGAACAGTTGCTATTGCAATTCTGAATAGCCCCAGCAGTAGCATAAGCATGAGCATAACGATAACCACAATTATGAGAATTCTCAAAACAATCATGCGAGGGAGCACAAGAACAAGCCGAGGCAAGAGGCGTGCGCGTACGAGCAGAGTGGCGCCCATGCCCTTGTAGAGGCCCAGCAGGCCCTCATCGCGCACGATGGTGCTCAGCGTGCCCACTATACCCTTGTAGTACCGCGACTTGGTCTGAACATAAACCCACATGTGGATGGTCAGGGGAGGGATAAGCGGGAGATGGTGGATTTGAGAAAGGGGGTGTTGCGACTGAATTGCTATTGAGTTAACCAGAAACGTTCAGTGGACTCTTTAAGGAAGTGCAAGGGACACAGAATGATGTTGTGGTCATGGGGGGGAATGTGGCAAGGCCACCACAGTAAAGTGGGCTGATGGAACAGGCAAAGGCAAACATGGAAGAAAGTGAAGGACATATTGGTCAAAATGTTCCTTAGGTGAAACGTTCCTTGCGAACACCCGCTCACCCACTCACGCTTCTCATCACTCTCTCACCCACTCACCTACCCCCCCACTCATTCGCTCATGCACCCACTCACTCACCCACCCACGCACTCACTTAATCAATCCACCACCCACCCGACTTACTCACCTACCCACCCACTCGCTCTCTCACCCACCCACTCGCTCACTCGCCCACCCACTCGCTCACTCGCCCACCCATCCACTCACACACTCACCCACCCACTCATTCACGCACCCACCCACTCACTCTCCCGCTCACCCACTCACTCACCCACCCACCCCCACACACCCACCCACCCACACACCCACTCACTCACACACACACTCGCTCACTCGTCCACCCACCCACTCACTCGCTCACTCACTCAACCACCAACTCACTCACACACCCACCCACCCCCACACACCCACCCACCCGCAGACAGGCAAACCCACTCTCTCACTCACTCGCCCTCCCACCACGCACCCACCCATCGCGCACATGCCAGTCACACAGCCTCACCTGAGCAGCAAGGCGAGTGCGCACGAGGTCAAGCGGGTACGTGATGGTAGCAGCAGTGCACCCCGCGCCCCCTCCCGCCAGGAACTTCACCCCCATGTCCACCACCCCCCTCCGCGCCGCCTGCCACCCATGCTCATGCTGCTGCTGCTGCTGCTGCTGCTGCTGCTGCTGCTGCTGCTGCTGCTGCTGCTGCTGCTGCTGGTTTGGTTGCAGTGCGTGGTGTGCGTGGGTGGGCGGGAGGTCAGGGCTGGGGAAGGAATTGGCCGCCATGGTTTCAAGCATCTGGGGGGGGAAGTGTGGTGAGGGGTGGGAGCGGAGAGCGTCAGATGCGTTTCTGTGAGTTGTAAGGAATGGTTCTAACTGAGAGGTAGAAGAGAAAAAAAATCATTTAGGACTTTAAGACATGGCTCTTTTTCAGCGGGAGGAGAGGAGAAGGTAGGGGGTTGTTGGGTTATGGTGAGGACACGACAAAAGGGTGAAGATGAATGGAAGGGAGGTAGGGTGGACACAGGTTGGAGAGGAGTGATGGAGTGTCAAGCAAAGTGAGAGAGGGTGGAGAGTGAGAGAGGGACTCCATGAGAGAGAATGTTGAAGTCGGGCGTGAAAGAGGGTGGGAGTGAGAGAGGGTGGGGCGTGAGAGAGGGTGGGGCGTGAGAGAGGGTGCGGAGTGAAGAGGGGTGAAGTGAGGAGGTTGGGAAATGAGAGGGGGTGGAAGTGAGATGAGGGAAGTGAGAGGTGGAGAGTGAGAGAGGGGAGGGAAGTGAGGGAGGGAGGGAAGTGAGAGATGGACGGAAGGAAGTGAGGGAGGGAGGGAAGTGAGAGTGGGAGGGAAGTGGCGGCGGGAGGGAAGTGAGAGAGGGAGGAAAGTGAGAGAGGGTGGGGAGCGAGAGATGGAGGGAAGTGAGAGATGGGAAGTGAGAGAGGGGAGGGAAGTGAGGGAGGGGAGTGAAGTAAGAGGGAGGGATGAGAGGGAGGGAGAGAAGTGAGGGAGGGAGGGAAGTGAGAGGGGGAGGGAAGTGAGTGAGGGGAGAAGTGAGGGAGAAAGAAAAGTGAGAGAAGGACCAAGCTATGCCATGTCATGCCAGACCGGCAGTAGGCACGTTTGTCTGTGGGCAGCAGATCCCCCCCGCCCAGCACGCCATCACCACGAGGGATGGGTGGGGAATACGAAAGGAGGGATGGCGAGGAGAGCAAGGGCGAAGAGGGAAGGGGAGAGGAGAGTGGAGGGACGGAGGAGAAGAACTGGGAGGGGGAGGAGACGGGGACGGCGGAATCGGGCGGGCAGGGGGGGGCAGGGGGGCGGGCGGGAGGGCGGGCATCTCACGGATTTGTAGCTCTCGTAGGCAAAGAAGTTGATGGCGGAGTAGGGGAGGCGGTGCACGATGGTGACGGTGTTGCCCTTCCAGAACGCCAGCGCGCCCTCCTCCGCCACTATGCGCCTCGCCTCCCCAAAGATGGACGGCCGCCTCCGCGCCGCCGATGCGTCGTGCATGCCCTGCACCTGGTGGGGTGTGAGGGGGGGGGGTGTGGGTGGAGAGAGGAAGGGGGGCGAGGGGCGACAGGGGTGGGAGTGATGAGGGTAATTAGGGCGATGGTGAGGTTGGGAAGGCCTCCCCACAGATGCAAGACCGCCTGTGCGTTGCTGATGAATCATGCATGCCCTGCACCTGGGGAAGAGGGGGAGAAGAGGGGGCGGACGGGGGTTGTGGAAGGGCGCAGAGGAAAGGAGGAGGTTGGGGAGGGTGGGAATGATGAGGTTCATGGGGGGGGGTTGGTGCGGGAGAGATAAGGTGGGGGCTTCCGTGGTTGGGGTGGGCAATGGAGTGGGCGATGGGGTGGGCGGTGGGGTTGGGAATGGGGTGGGGGATGGGGTGGGGGGATGGAGTGGGGGACGGGGTGGGGGACGGGGTTACGGGCCACAGGGGCATGAATCACGGGGAAGGGGTGCACGGGTGTGGGGGGGGAGGAAAGCATGGGGAGGACTCGAGAGGGCTCCAAGGTCTGTTGCTTGTGTCTTGCATGTGGAGAAGAAGAGGATGGCACGAGGTGGGGGGGGGAATTCAATGCGCGAAAGGAGCAGGCATTGCGGAAGCGGGGAAAGGGAGGAGGGTGGGGATGGGGGCTGATGCTGTGAGATGATGGCGATGGGGGGATGGACGGATGGAGGGATGGAGGGATGGGGAAAGGGTGATGGGAAAGGGAGGATGAGGAGACTGGGAGATGGGAAAGAAGGGGGATGACAATGGGCGGAATAGTGGTGGATTGGTTGGATAGGGATGGGGGGGTTGAGAGGATGGGGATGGAGGGATGGGGCGGGCGAGGGTGCAAAGATGGAACGGGGTTAGGTATGGCCATGGGGAAATGGGGCCGGGGATGGGGAATGGGCCTTGACATAAGCATAACTTCACATGTTAATCATTCGCACAAGTACATCCACATGGGTATAAATGGACATGAGCAAACACTGGCTACGCATTCACGCACATGCATGGTTGCATAACCATGCACCTGACCATGAAACAGGACATGGATATGAACATCCACATGACGCATCTGAACATGCACCTGACAAGCATCTGACAGAGCACAAGCACCTGACCACCATTGCAACCCACCTGAACAAGCACCTGGCCATACACCTGAAAAGCCTTACCCAATTGCACATGACCACCTGAACAGCACGTGGCCATGCACTTGAAAAGCACCTCATCAAGCACCTGACCATGAACCTAACCATGGCGCATGATCCACCTCACTAAGCACCTGACCATACACCTGGTCATGCACCTGACTATTGCACATGATCCACCTGACCATGCACCTGGACCAAGCACCAAGCACCTGATCGTGCACCTGACTGGGCACCTTCACCTTCATAAGCACATGGCCACCCTCCACTGACCGCCACAAGGCAATCAAGCCCTTACACCCATCGGCACCCGTCTCAACTCCACCTGAGTGCGGCCTGCACTCTTATCGCAATTCCCTACGGCAGCGGCCCAATTCTCGTCAACCCCATCACTCGTACTGTGCGCACCTTCTAAGGGTTGACCCCCCATCACCCCTAAAAATTCGCTGCCACTCGTGCCTCCCCTTTCCTGTTCGCATACGAACTCGCTTTCTTTCTTCAGCTTCGCCTTTCCTGATCCTTTTACAACCTACACGTCTGGGCTAATTTCCAACCCACTTGTGCTTCCTTCCCCCTGCATTTCGTTCACCGCTCTCAACTTCCCTCCAATCTTTTCAGTCACCTCCGTTTGAGTCACGAACCTGGAAGAGGATCGTGAGTCGAGCCAGGGGAGCCGTGCACGTTTTACTGACGGCGCCTGCGATGCCGCCCGCCACCAGCTGCCCCACCGTGCTGATCTGCCCCGCCCGCCGCATCCGCTTCGCGTACGCCGCCGCCGCCGCGGCCGCCGCAATTTCCTCCTCGTCCTCTAGGCCGTCTTCCCCAGGCCCGTGCCCGTGCCCCAATCCCTCGCCCCGCAACCCTTCCCCGCGCAGTCCTTCCCCTCGCAGTCCTTCCCCGCGCAATCCTTCCCCCAGCAGCCCGTCCCCCCGCAGCCCCTGCTGCGCTTGCTGCAGCCCCATCACGGTCGCTCCGCCCGCGCCCCGTTCGTCCCCCTCCTGCAGCTCCGCCGGAGCCGCGGTGGCGGCAGCGGGGGTTCGCGCGGAAGACACGGCGGCGGCGGCGGAAGCGGCGGGGCGTCGAATGTGCGGAGAGTCCGCGTCTGGCCGGGCGGCAGGAGCTACTGCGACCCCGGTACTGCGGAGCGGAGGCGCGGAATTTGGACGGAAGGGCGGGAGTGGGGGAGCGGAGGGGGAGGGGAGGGGAGGGGAGGGGAGGGGAGGGGAGGGGAGGGGAGGGGAGGGGAGGGGAGGGGAGGGGAGGGGAGGGGAGGGGAGGGGGAGGGTGAGGTGGAAAGGAGAGGGGCGTGATGCCGAAGATGGTGGTGACGAGGCCGTGAGCACGGCAACTGCGGCGGGAAGCACGAGAGGGAGAAGATTCTAGCAAGCATACGAGGAAGCGAAACACGAGGGCAGGCATGGGCTTGGCGAGGGGCAAGGGAGACAGGAGGGCCACGGGAGGGGCACGGGAGGGGCACGGGAGGGGCACGGGAGGGGCACGGGAGGGGCACGGGATGGGCACGAGAGCGGCACGGGAGGTGCAGGGGAGGGGCAGGGAGAGACAGGCGAAAGACTCACTGCAGCGCAATCCCATCAGCGCTGGCCGCCACGGCTCCTCCCGCTCTCGGCACCAGCTCCGCACGGAGCGCGTGCACCACAGACGGCATCACCAGCGCGCCCGCCGTCACGCCCGCCGCACCGCGAAGCACCGCTCCTAACCCCACGCCTGCTGCCTCTCTCTCTGCGGGTATTCTCCTGTCCGCTGTCCGCCGCAAGTCGCTACCGCCAGAGCCTAGAGCTGCAACTTCCGCGCCGCCTGCCGTCTCGCACGGGCTCGTCTCTAAATTCGTCTCTATAGTCGTCGCTACATTCGTTCCCATGCTCGTGTCTGCGCCGCACGTCCTCCCAGCGACGTTGCCTGCAACGCCAGGTGAAGCTGACGCGGGCTCCGATGCACCCATGGCGTGCTGCTGCGGAAGCCACTAACGCCGCCGTGTCTTGCGCCGTGCCGTGCTACTATGTTGGCTATTAGTGCCGCGGGACGAAGATCAGCGAACGGCCGCTGAGAGGAGCTACGACTGCGCGACAGCGGGCGTCGCGCGAGCGCCGATCGTACTAAGATCCAGTTTACTGATGGTGGCGTGACACGGTGCGTCCCGTTGCTCACGCGGTCCTTACGAACATGATTTTTTGTCGATCCAAAATCGCCCTCGTCAAGCATTCACCCGGTGATACATCGAACGCAGAGAGAAGCGCGCTCGGAGCGTGAGGTGACGGTGATGGTTCGATTGTTTTTTTCAAGGAAATCGATGTATGTCTATGTTAGTGGATAGAACAACGCGATAAGGAGAACATAGCGTTTGACTGATCCACGAAAGGACGGCTGCTGTGGCCAGGCCAATCCCAATTTCTCATGCCGACTCACGCCCACGCGGTCATCACCTCTAACCAGTGTGGCAATGACGCGAACGCGTGGCTTTCGTTTGGCTCATCCGTGGCTGCTACTACTTGCCAAAGGTAGGATTCAAGAGCAACTCAAAGAGTGGAACGAGTGGGTAGATATGGTAAAGGAAGACGAAAACAGTTCGACAAGGGCAGTTCAGCGTGATTAGGAACCGGATCGTTCAGCAATCTGTAAGCCTGTAGGCTCTATTTGCAGCACCAAATGCTCTCATCAACTAGCCAATCGCTTTATGTAAAGAGCACGTGAGGCCAAGAAGCTAGAGATCTCGACTAGAGCCATGGTGGGCATACAGGGCCGTGTGCGGGTATGCTGGTGGGGCTGGCGGGATGGATGTGAGCTGGAACGAGCAGGAACAAGGGGGGAGTCGGGACGCACGCAGGGTTAGGAGGGGAGGCGCAATCATTGGACCCGCCCCGCCTGCCCCCAAGCTAAGCGCTCCGCATGTGTATTTTGGAGCGCGCCAGCTCTGCCAGCTCTGAGGCAGGCGGAGAATGCTCTGGTTCTGGTTTGCTGGTCTGGTCTGCTTTTGCCGCTTGCGCGCTTTCCGTTCCGTTCCGCGGCAGGTCGCATGTGTGGCGCGTTTCCCCAAGCATGGGAGGAGAAGAGAGAAACGCTTTGGCGGGAACTGCAGGTATTCCGCTCTTCCTGGAACCCCGTTACGCGCACATGCCTCGCATGCGCCAACAATGTTCCAGGGTTCTCCTCCGCCATGTGCGCAGGTGTGGGGGTCCGCCGCCTCTTACCCAACATCGCTCCATTCATCGAACCTGCAGCGGTGCACCCCAAACCACTCACCCCTGGCAGCGTGATTTGGACCGCCGTCCGTTTGTCGTCTGCCCTTACCTAAAGACTGGTCCGAGTGGATCGCGTCTTGTGGGGCATCCATGTGGCTTGTTCAAGATTGCAGGTTTGGTTGGGAACCACGGCGGTTTCTATCAATGAGCACTGCTGCAACCTTCTTGAAGGTCACTATCATGGCCTGCTGTGGGCTTTATCTTTTAACGCGTACTCAGATTGAAATCTTCTACACAGCAAGCACACATAAAGCTGTGATAGAAACTAGCAGCTGAAAAACTTAAAAGATGACTCCTAGTCAAGTCCCTTGGACCCAAACCTTGTGTTTTCAGTGCTTTTGTGCCTGGTTAATTTACTACTACACTGTAATATGTGTATTTTTGTGGTTTCCAGATGTACCATATTTGAAAATATCATATTCATGGCTTTGTGTTTGCCATGGTTACAAAGGATACAAGGGATTTGAAGCGGTCAACGTATGTGTTGTTTTCATAATATAGAAAATGTACAGTGGATACACACGATGATTGTCGAGCACTTGCAGTAACAGAGGATGAATCACAGAAGCAGAGATGCAAGATCACATACGGAGATAAAGTCTGACATAGAGATGTCAAACTTGTAACATAGCCGAGATCGTTACGGCGGCATACTACGAAGCTGGTCGAAGTTCATGAGTTCTGTAAAACAAAATCACGACCAAAGAAAAACTCCGTTCGAGGTACTTGGTATTGATAGTAAACAAATTTTAAATATAGCTTTTATCATTGTAAAAAAAAAAGCAATTTTTTTCAGACTATTTATGTTAAACATTGTAGTGAGTATAATATTGTTGGTATGAAGGATGTATGCCTTTCTGATAATTTCTTATAGTTGTGGACGAGTTTTCCCGCTACACCACGGTGTTTCCGTTGCAGCGAAAGGTCGATGTGCGTGACGCTCTTCTCCTGTATATCTTGGCCATCCACACCCAGCTAGGCCTTCTTGTGTCAAACATTATACATGTTCATATTGTGTAGGCTATAGTGGGTTTAGCCTTAGGGGGTACAACATTGCTAGGGTTTCCTACTTGTATCACCCTGCTGCCTAGTTTCACACATTCTCGTTCAGTTCTACATTCTAACATGGTATCACGAGCCTAGGTTGCTACCTAGGACCGCTTTCTCCTACGGGCCCACTATTCCGCTAGACGCGCCCTCGTGCGTCCTACCTTACGTGCGCCCTCGTGCGCCTTTCTATACTCGTGCGCCCTCGTGCGCCCTACCTTACGTGCGCCCTCGTGCGCCCCTGTGCGACCCGCCCTTCGGTCTGCCCATGTGCCGTCCTGCAGCCCTCGCGCTGCCTCCTGCAAGCTAGTACGGCCCTCGAGCCGCCCCTGCAAGTCCGTCAGGCCCCCGAGCCGCCTCTGCAGACCCGTCAGGCCCCCCCGAGCCGCCTCTGCAGGCCCGTCAGGCCCGAGAGCCGCCCCTGCAGCCAGCGCGCTGCCCTGCCGAGCCGCGTGTCGCCCGTGGGCGCTGCCTCTGCCCCGTCGCGCTGCCCTGGGGAGCCGCGCGCGACCCCCGCTGTCCCGTCGCGTCGCCCTGGGGAGCCGCGCTCGGCCCCCGCTGCCCCGTCGCGACGCCCTGGGGAGCCGCGCTCGGCCCCCGCTGCCCTGTCGCGACGTCCTGGGGAGCCGCGCTCGGCCCCCGCTGACCCGTCGCGACGCCCTAGGGAGCCACGCGCGACCCCCCCGCTGCCCCGTCGCGACGCCCTGGGGAGCCGCGCGCGCCCCCCCCCCCCCCCCCCCCCGCTGCCCCGTCGCGGCGCCCTGGGGAGCCGCGCGCCGCCCCCCCCCCCCCCCCCCTCGCTGCTGCCCGAGCCACCCTGCAGCCCGCGAGCCGCCTCTGCAGCGCCGAGTGCGCTCTGCCAAACCCTAAAATAAATAATTAATTATTAAAAAAAAAAAAAAAAAAAAAGGGGAGCAGCTGCCCCTGGCCCCTGGAGCAGCCGCCCCTGGAGCAGCCGCCCCTGCAGCAGCCGCCCCTGCAGCAGCCGCCCCTGGACCTCTGCAGCCGCCCCTGGCCCCTGGAGCAGCCGCCCCTGCAGCTGCCGCGGAGCCCTCGCCCTGCAGTGGTAGCGGCCTCGCCGTTACCACCGTCGTACGCCTGCCCTTCTCGCCACTGGTGAGCACTGCCCTGCCCGTATTGCTGTTACTGCTGCTCCTGCTGCTACTGCTCTTTCTACTTCTACTGCTGCTCCTGGCGTGGCCAGATGCAGCTCCAGCGCCGTCCGCGTGAGTCCCTCACGCCCCAACAGCTTCGTGAGTGGTATGCTGGTTGGGGTTGTAGGGGTGGCCGCGCTGCTGCTACTACTGCTGCTGCTACTACTGCTACTGCTGCTCCTGGCGGTGGCCAGATGCAGCTCCCGCGACGTCCGAGTGAGTCCCTCACGCCCCAGCAGCTTCGTGAGTGGTACGCTCAGCGTGGAGGGTCACGGGGTACTGCTCGCTGCCCGTACGTCATTCGCACTGGTGCTCGGACTGGTCAGCCTTGCGGGACGTTTGGTCACACAGAGTCCCGCTGCTTCGCCCGTCTGAGCGACGCCTGGCGTACAGAGTTTGGCGACGCGGCTGAGCTCCCCGACTGGGTGGAGCTGCTTAGGCAGAGGGTAGATATCTATGCTCTTGACTATGATGCTATCCTCACTGCCATGTATGCATTTCCTACTAGTGCTGAGAGTGCCTGTCACCTGTGTGTGCCGCCTGACCCCGGTATCCAGTCTGCTGCTCTAGGTACTGGTGAGGCTGCTGCACTAGGTGCTCGTGTGTCTGTTGCCCCAGGTGCTGGTGAGGCTGCTGCTCTAGGTACTCGTGAGTCTGCGCCCTCTGGTACTGCGTCTACTGAGGCACTGCACACCTTCACACTGGACTCAGGCGCTTCCCGCTGTTTCTTTCGTGACCGCACTGCCCTTGAGCAGCTTGCTCGGCCGATTGCAGTCTCCCTCGCTGACCCCTCTGGGGGTCCGGTCATTGCGACCTCCTCTACTGTTCTCCCTTGTCCTGCGGTCCCGTCGGGCACTCTGTCAGGTCTCTACCTCCCCTCGTTCTCTACGAACTTGGTGGCGGGTAGTGCGCTCCAGGATGGGGGTGTCCACCAGTTTACCCCTGCCTACGAGCGTGTGACACACTGCACGTGCGCTCGGACGGGCCGCCACCTGGCTACCTTCACTCGGCAGCCGGGGTCGGACCTGTACACACTGACCACTGAGTCCCCACAGGTAGCTGCGTCTGCGTCTGCGTCAGGTCAGCTGTCTGCCCCCTGCTCGTGTCGCTCTCTGGCACACGAGACTGTCCTCTGGCAACACCGTCTTGGTCACCCGTCAGTGCAGCGCCTTCGTGCCATGCACAACCGGTACCTTGCTTGTGCTCGGAATTTGTGTGGTTTCCTTGAGATCCACCCTGAGCTTGCTTTGCTTTGCTTTGACTGGTCTTGTGACCATCTGGTTGTCTCCCACTTAGCCTATGGGGGTGTGTCAAACATTATACATGTTCATATTGTGTAGGCTATAGTGGGTTTAGCCTTAGGAGGTACAACATTGCTAGGGTTTCCTACTTGTATCACCCTGCTGCCTAGTTTCACACATTCTCGTTCAGTTCTACATTCTAACATCTTGTGCTTCGCCTGCACTCTGACCAGGGTAGCAAGTTCACCTCCAGCCCGGTTG